ATAACAACTCTGTAAATTAACAAATACGAATCGTGGATTTTATAAGTACGAAAGATTTAAAAAATAAATTTCATTCATCGCTTCTACTACTACATTTCCCAAGATAAAAATGTCATCTGATAAAGAGTTTGGAAATAACCATGCTAGCAGTGGGCCAGCTAGATGTTTAGAGTTGACTTCTAGCACATGGTGAATTCACGGATGTTGCAGTTGGAGGTGCAAAAGAGGCAAGCACCGATTCTGAAGATGCCCAGGTGAAAAAAATGAAAGAAAGGAACCAAAGGATGGAAGATGAAATTAAGGAATCTGAACTTCTCAACAAAATAATTAACACTCCAACCATTACATCAGCCACATCTGAAGTCGATGGACGATCCATATGGGTCGGCAACGTAGACTATGGGGCTACATTGGAAGGTTTGAATAAACACTTCGAACAATGTGGTGTCATAATGAGAACGAAAATTCTACGTGACAAAATTAGCGGCAAGTCTAAGGGTTTTGCATACATTGAGTTTTCGGACGTTGTGTCTATTGAATTGGCCTTAAAACTGAATGAGTCACTGAATGAGATTTTATAAGTACGAAAGATTTAAAAAATAAATTTCATTCATCGCTTCTACTACTACATTTCCCAAGATAAAAATGTCATCTGATAAAGAGTTTGGAAATAACCATGCTAGCAGTGGGCCAGCTAGATGTTTAGAGTTGACTTCACTAGCACATGGTGAATTCACGGATGTTGAAGTTGGAGGTGCAAAAGAGGCAAGCACCGATTCTGAAGATGCCCAGGTGAAAAAAATGAAAGAAAGGAACCAAAGGATGGAAGAAGAAATTAAGGAATCTGAACTTCTCAACAAAATAATTAACACTCCAACCATTACATCAGCCACATCTGAAGTCGATGGACGATCCATATGGGTCGGCAACGTAGACTATGGGGCTACATTGAAGGGTTTGAATAAACGCTTTGAACAATGTGGTCTCATCAAGAGAACAAAAATTCTACGAGACAAATATAGCGGCAAACCTAAGGGCTTTGCATACATTGAATTTTTGGACGTTGTGTCTATTGAATTGGCCCTGAAACTGAATGACTCACTGTTTTGCGGAAGACAAATTAAAGTCACCGCGAAGAGAACCAACATACATGGTCTGTCAACTACAGACAGAAAACCGAGAGGGAGAGGTATAAGGTCAAGGGGTGGTCCAATGGCAGGAAGAGGTCGCTATTTAGTTACAGCACAGCACATTCCAACACCTGTGCCAAGGTTCGATTCATACATGGAACAACAGCCACAGTACCCAGCCTACAGAAGCAGAGGTAGCAACAGGTCAAGAGGGGGATCTCGTTACAGACCATATTGAAGTAACATTTCCTTCTTTGTGGATCTTCTCACCTTTTGTCAATAATGCGCTATATGAAGGATGATGTCACCATTATAATTTCATGATTTTTAGAAAGCTATGATGTCATTATTATTTATTTGTACTTTATATTTTTTTATTATATTTTTTCTGTCATTACTAATGTTGTTGCTGTCATCTGATTATTTTCCTTGATATGCATTTTTTACATTGATATTAATTAAATTTTTTGTCAATTTTTGTCAATTTGTCTGCCAATTATATTTTATCATCATCCTCATCATGATTATTATCATTATGATTATCATGTGCAGTCAGTAGCGGATCTATGGGAAATCGGGGAGGGCCATACGACCCCCGTTGTGAGCAATATTTGTATAAAAATCAGTAAAATTCAAAAAGGCCAATAGAATCTAGAAAAAAGTTATAGAGCAACCTTTTGCTAAAAAAAAATAAAGTTGTTAATCACTAAGTTTTGTGGTGGTGTCACGTGTTAAGCCGTCGGCAAACGAGTTAATTAAAAATTTTTATTATTATTATTAGAAATAGCTCGGGCATAGCCCATTGCCAACCAAATAAAAATCGAAAAATCAAAAGTAACAAAAATAAACCCTTAAAAATTAAAAACTGATTAAGATAAAAATCAAATTGTCATTATAAAATTAAATGAGTTAGCTTCATTAGATTTTTAACAAAGTCATTACAGTGGCAATCAAACAGGAAATTGAATCAGCAACAAAATCTGTCTAGTTAATACAAACACAAATATAATAAAAAACCAAAATTGAAGACGAACCGAAACAAAGGGATTTTTAACAGAGAATATAAAAAAAAAATAAAAAAAACGAAAATTTAAATTTATAAATATAGGAAAATAAACAAAAGACACAATATTATTGAGATTATCAGAAATTATCAGAAATTAGCCCTCCAATCAAACATGACATCTCCAAAAAAATTGTCTATTGCCAAGGTTTTAATTGGTTAATTGCGAAGTTTAATTAGTTGAGTTTCTCCGTTAGGATCAATGAAGACTCGTGAATTAAACTTTTATTACAATAAGTTATTAGTGCACATTATTTGTTGATCCGTTTGTATTTTATTAGGAGAGGATAATGAAATCACTTTTCCTGTCAAGATTGTGTGGTTAATCTAACTACCATT